CATACAACCATGTGACGGGTTAAAAAAAATGCTTTGTGATCGTTTCTCAATATGCTTGCTCATCACTTACGAATGTGATGAGCAAGCATTTATTAAAACGATTACACAGCACTTTTAGAACCTGTCACGTGATGACCTTGGTGAAAAACAAAGAGACTATTATGTTAAAAAACGTGCCAAATCTTATCCCTCCTTCTAGCTTCCTGTTTAGCCTTCAGAACTTCGTGTTTACTTTATCAATTCATCGCAGAATTTTTCGGTTTCATCTCCTCAAAAACCTCGGGGGAGATTGGACTGTTTATTGAAAAAAAAGCTCAGAGGGAGACGGCGGGGAAACAGATGCTTTCTTTATTATTGTCAATGTGCAAACGCGAAACATTTTTTAAACTGAATCAGGTTTCTTGGAAATGCTTTGTCATTTGTTTTGCCAGGTCAGGGGATAGAAATTAAATCTGTTATGTTCTTTGCTTTTTGATGTAAAGAGGAAATTTGTGTAAATCCATCACGTGAAACCCCAACGTTTATCATGTGATCCTCCTCTTCGCTGCATCTTTAAGATCCACTAACATTCGATAAACACAATCACGTGTCGACCTTGGGACTTTTCCTGTTTCACAGAGCAATTACAGCTTCTTCTGGATTCGTCAATCCAGAAAAAATATTTCCTTTCATCAATTAGGGAAAACGGGAAAGAAAAAACAAGGGGTTTTCCCTTAAAGATAAAAGGTGCTTAATAATAAAGAAACAATATGACCTCTGACAACCGCTACGTCTGCAACAACATGACGTCTGTATTTTTCACTTTTGAAGCACGCAATTGGTGTAAGACTGGGTTTATGCGTGTGGTGTGGTGTTAAAATTGTTCAGATAAATTGGGAAAGTGCTTTAGTGCAAGTGCCGGAAGTTTAACAAAAATTTTCGATAAGAGCTGCGGGAAAAAAAGTGCGATGACGAAGCAGCTCACGGCAACCGACCCGAAAATTTATTGTTTCTGGTGTTCCTGAAGACAAACGCCCGAAACACCAGCAAAAAGTGTCTAGTGGAATCTAGTAGCCATAAAGAACTCAGAACCAAAGTGATCAGATACCGTTTTTCTATTTTAAGATTCCTCGGGAATTTCCCTTTCTTCCTCTCCATATGCGATATATTTTGTCATTCAAGGTGATGATCATCAAAGCGGTGTCATATTGACACAATGCAAAAACGTAGACCTGCTTACACAGCAATTTCATTTTAAACTTGAATTGTGATTTTACAGCTGAAATAATTTTTTGCAGGATTGACGAAAACAAAAGTTAACTTGGAAGAAGAGAGAATTGACACCACTGGTCGAATGTTGCACGTCTTTCAAAGGACATTCCACAATTTGTGGAAATCAATATAACTGATTATTTATTCTATTTATAGGACTTACGGATGTGCGCTTGTGTCAATGAATTGTGCTCTGATTGAAAGACAGTTCGCGTCGACATCTGTTTATCTGTCATCTTTTATTTAACGCTGAGAAATGCAAGGAAAGTGATTTTGAAACTAGACTATTCGATCCCTTGAACAAGAGATGCTATGAGAAACTTTTAGGTAATCATTAAACAGCCTCAGCAGTTTTACATCGCTTTATGTAAGCTGGAAAACTCGATCTTTTAAGTCTTTGAAACGGAATTTTATCCCCATATTGATTGAGAAGCAAAACTGAAACTACTTAAGCGGGGTTTTTCCCTCGAAAATTTGAAACTTACATACATTTCCTATTTCTACCGATATTTGATGACCATTATAGCGTGATATGGTGCAGTTGACTGCGGTTGTACTATGTTGTCAAATTGATTTATTTTTGGTATCAATTACATAGGGAGCCTTCGTGAATGTTTCGATTTTTTCCTCCATGAGGGCCTATGAAAGAATTTCTCTTCGCGTGACTACACTTGTTCAAATCCAAACCAGACTGTATGGGAAAGTCCCGGTTATTTCAACGAAAATGAAAGAGTGGCGGAAAGTTACTATTTTGGCTCAATTATTTTTATTATTCCGACAAAACATCTGAAACGTGCTAAACAGAAAGCTGTTTGTGACTCATTCGACTGGCAAAGAAAGAAACCTAAGACACATCGCAGATTTAACATCTTTGGCTCAAATTATTACTAAAAATTACATGATCTCACGTCGACCTTGGGACTTCTTCAGTTTTACGGAGGATTTAAGGCGTCTTACAGATTCGTCAATGTAGGAAAAGACTATCTTTCAGGGATTAGTGAAAATGACTTTTAATGAGGGGTTTCCTCCTTAAAAAATTAAAATCTACTTTCTAAGTCCCCACTGACAAAGAGCATGTTGTGTCAAATCGGACACTTTACAAAAAGGATACTTGCAGAGTGGAATATATTTGTTGACACTGCAGCTTCGACAACCGACCTTCATTGTGTAAAACTGGTTGTTGAATGAACTGTTCATCGCTTCTGATGTACCTGTCGACAAATTAAATGCCCGAAACAATGGCAAAAGTTTCTTGTGGCTTCTTGTGGCCAGAAAGAACTCAAAGCCAAAGTGAAGTGGTTTCCCTCTTTGCACGGCCATTATAGACAACAGATCCTTTCAAAAATTAGATCATTACGTAACACTAAACGCATTCAATACAACATTGTGGAGCACTTCTGGAAGATAATTTGTGGACGGAGCTGTAAGTGCTTAGATGACAGTTTTGTTTCATAATTCCACGGGAATTTCCCTTTGTTTGAGTTTGCCTCCATAAATGCTACATATATTTGCCACATATCTACGTAATAATCATCAAACGTGTCATGAAATTGACTCAAATTAAACCTGGAGTTGCTTACACAGCACTTTCACTTTCAATTTCGAAATGTGATTTTTAAGGCAGAAATCATTGCCTGCGCGGTTAACGAAACGGAACTAAACTTAAAGAGAACAGAGGATGAACTCCATTTTTCGACTAAAGCACGGTCTTTCAAAGGTCATTCTTCAGTTTGTAGATGTCTAAATGACCGACGTCTATTTATAGGACCTTCTACGGTTTGCGCGGATATGAATAAATTACATTAAAATGTGTATTATGTAAATACGATTTGTGTTCAATTCTTTTCATCTGCCATGTTTGGCGTAATGCTTAGTATAAGCATAAAGATAATGCCAGGAAAGTGATCATGAAAAGAGATTATTCAATCACTTCAACAGCCTCAGCACTTTTCCACTGTTTTTTATTGATTGGTTGAATTCGAAATTGAAACTGCTCAATGGGGTTTTTCCCTTAAAATTATCATGATATGCCAATATTGTTTGACTACTAGAGTTTGTTTACTTCCGGTCGACTGCGGGAATTGCAGTACATTTTTAGGTTCTCGGCTATAAACGGGAGCCAACAATAACGTTTACGAATGTTCTCTCCTTGACAAGCCTATTAAACTCCGTAGTGCGACTTAACTTTCAAAACAGGAATCACTACTTAACAAGGGAAAGTCCCGGCTATTTTAACGGGAAAAGAGAGAAGAAAGAAAAGTTATTGTCTTTGTCTGATTTGTTTGATTTTTCAATCCCTACAAAACGTCTGATACCTGTCAAAGAGAAAGTTATTTGGGGCTCATTCGACTAACATTGTAGGACTCTGCTTTTAAGCAGAGTCCTACAATGTTATTTTCCCTATTAAAATGGGGAAAATAACAGTCTCGAAAAACTTAACGTTATCTGTATCTGTGGTCTTACTTTCATCTTTGCAAAGGGATAATGCGGCCATAAAAGAGATTAAATAGATTATTTTAAGTTTTTTGGCACTATTTCAACCGCCAGCTAATTATTTTCTCTGCTAATAACTCTCTACGTAATTAACAAAGGAAAAATATTTTAAACAATCATACTTCCTATCCCTTCGACTTTAAAACAAGTTTTAGCGTAGTGCAGTTTCAATATACTTTCAAAGCATATTGAAAGAAAGAAAATGAACAAGCAAGATAATGAACAACTCTAGGCCGTGTAAAAATATGTACAATTCACTTTAATTCCTCAACGGCGTAGGTTGAAACTAAAATAACAAACAATTACAAAAGTTACGCAATAAACGATCAAAAAAGAAAAAGAAGGAAAAGGACGTCGAGTGAAAACGGCGTTACGTTACTAAACTGCGCTTAGCGCAAAAAGACTACAGAACAGGCATATTACTGCTTTATGTGCATCGATAAATTATGCAAAGTAGCAATAAGGCGGTGATAAGGTGGTAATAAAATGACCAAAAAAAAAGGCGCTAATGAAACAATAAGTATAAAAGTTCGCTAGTTACGGGGTGAAAAGACCTAAATAATGAGCTTTAAACACGCAGAGTCCAACACGAAAAACTGTCGCCCTTAGAACTTACACATCTTTCATGCAAAGCCTTCTCGATTCAGTTTACAACAGCTCACCAAACAAAATTACAAATTTTTTGCCGAATCAACGTATATATGCTGACTTAGTCGAAAGTCGGTAGAGGTAAATTCTAGCAGTTTATGGGTAACACTATGGCAATAGAGGAAAGTTTTTTTTTTACTTGAAGCCGGCTACGGGTCTCCAATTCATAATGAAAAGAGAGTTGTTTGCCGGAGTTATGGCCCATGCAGTCAGCGATCGTAAAGAACATTGGATACATCGTGCACCAAGGGTCAATATTTGTTGCAAATCACCATTAAAGGTAAAATGATCAAATGACTAAAAGTGGTCCAAACAACTTTTACAGCACTAAACTGTCAAAATGAGAAGGATAACAAAATGATACATTTAAATATATGTAAATATACATAAAAAACCAATTTCCGTTCAGCAGTTAGTCGAGGTCTTCACACAATTACGACCTAATTATCTGCACAGTTCTTAATTGACCTGGTGACGTCAAATAATTGGAATAGAAAGCAAAAGAAGCCGTCATTTCTTGCTTTTGTATCAATGTTAGAGAAACGGAAGTTTTTACAAGTTTATTAGGATCTAAGTTCTATCTGGAAAAAAATCCTAAATAACCACATATGGCATTAGCTGATCCCACAACTCAAGTGATGCTGGGATTAATGGAGGGAGTTCTTCTGAACCCTCCAGAATGTCGCACTTTTGAAAAAGTAAAGATGATTCTTCCTCTCCTAAGAACGAGATCACCTTTGTTTTATAACCTCAGAAAAGGTGAGTAAATAAGTATCTACCGATGTTTTTCAAACATAACTCTTTAAATGAAATATATTTTTTAATAGAAGAAATTGTATCAAGGGCAGAACACCTGCTTTCATGCATAATTCTGGAAAACGTTTGCGCGCGCGCATGACCAAAAACTTCACCTGATTTCAGTTTCTGTAAGCTGAATATCATGCCTTTATTGGTCTTAGGGTAATCGTTTCGAAGTAAACAATACTTAACAGTTTTTATTGGGTAGAACTCAACTTATTAAGGATGGGGAATTAATCGCTATTGAAACATCATTCATCCATCGTCAACTGAGACATGATATCGTTTCCTATATTCAGCGCTTGTGGCAAATAAATACAGCATTCCCTTACATTCTCTGGCCGCCAAACTAAGCAACCAGTTCGAACGAACGAACTTAAATATACTCAATTGACAACAACTCTTCACTCAACTCTGATGATGACTTCCGCGAATTGAAGTTGACGAAACGCTGGTCACCACTACTGACAACAGTCCTTTAAGTACAACCCTCGCTTGGACGATCAGACTACCAGAGAAAATGTTACCCCCGGGTTCGAACCATTCATTGCATTGTATACTTTATTCGAAGAATGACATAGGAAAAGAGTGAATTTAAGAGTAAGAATTTAGGATCAAACTTTTGAATTTGAATTGATCACTCTTAACTTAATTAGCACTTTTACATTCATCGTTGTCATCATCATCGTTATCATCGTAATCACCATGATTATATCACGCGAGAGAATATCTTCTCTTGTATCTCCAGTATCATTTTTAACATCAAAATTTAAGTCTGTTGTAGCGAAGTCATGCATATTACCCCTTCCATTTTGTTAATCAGACCTTTTTTAATCCATAGATCTCCTTGTGGACATTGCCACAAATTCTAGTTTGAAGAAATTCAAAAGAGATCATGTTGTCATCTGGCAAGGACAAGAAGGAAATAAGTAAGAAAAATTCAGTAATAATACAACAATGAATTAGTTAGTGTTGTGTTAGTGACAAAGCAGCCTGACAGTTCTTCCAGGCTCAGAAAGTCATAACTGAACGTTCCTGTCTTTGAAACAATCGTACCGCTTACAGAAAGTGACGCTCAAAACTTCCTTGAAGAGAAAGAAAACCAAAATAGGAAAGAAGAGCCAGAAGTTACGTAATCAGTGGCTTTCGTAATGGCTTTTCTCGCTGCTGAGAACGAAAATCGGCAGTTGGAAGATTTGCCACTGGCCGAGTTTGGCCAGTTACCTTTATAGATTTCTTATTTCGGTAAGGACAAAGTCAATAACTGAGAATTGTGTAAATTGAAAAATACGCCCATTATTTGATTTTGTAATGATTCAACGCATTTTTTATCTTGAGTCTTATCGTCTACGCACTTTGCAACTTCTTTTCGGGGCTTGTGAATCCTATTTTTTTCCATTAATTATTCGGGGATTATCAATTCATTTATTTTCATTCATTAATGAAGTCGACTTTCTTGTCAGTAAAGGGCTATTGTATTTATATAATGAACACAATAATACATGGTTGCTTGAAGATATGGAATTTCTATTCATGTGTCCAATTCGTGAACTATTGAAAACTTGAAGAGAAATTCCATGCCTATGCACGCCCATGTATTATACTCTATTTATAAAGCCTGATAACACTTATTTCTTTCCATAAACCGACGGTGCGTAAGAAAGACTTTCTAATGGTTTTGTCCCTAATTCTCGATGATTGCCTGATTCATAACAGTTTTGGGGTCATTATCAAAGGAGCTGCGTCAGTGCATGCCAGGGAGGACCACGGAGGAGCACCTCAACAGGACACTGTATCAATACCGCGTGGCCAAAGAGAACGTGTGGCAATGGTAGGCCATGAGCTTAGGCACATTTCAGCGGGAGGTAGCTTCGGTGAAAGGGCCATGTTATGTGAACATCCGCCATACAACGTGACTGTTATAGCTGACGAACTGATACATGTGCTACTGATAGACAGAACGCTTTACGCGAGATCATTTGGTGCTCACAAGCTGGAGTGGGAAAAAAAGGTTGAGTTCGTCAAGCAGTCTCCCCTTCTCCGACATTTGACGCCAGCTATCCAGAACCTGTTAATGGAGAACTTAAAACCGCGCGAGATACAGTTTGGTAATCGCTTCATAAAGCAAGGAGGCGTTTGCAATAGCCTTTTCTTCGTTTGTAGTGGATGGGGAAAAGTTATAGCAGATCTGCGCATCAGCAGGACCCAGTATGAAGCAATGAAAGCAACTTCGAGAAGCAAGGAGAAATCCTCAGGTCGGAAGACCATTAGCTGTGACAGGGAATACATACACACTAAGAAACTGGATCCTAGTCGCCCTCTTTCGGTCATCAACAGACGAAAGTACATGCAGGAGTTTGGATACGTTGCCGTAGAGACGCTTTTGAGACAGAGAGAAGTACCTGTGACAACTACAGGTCCAAACGACGTCATCGGTGACATTGAGGTTATAATGAATTTCCCAACGTACTGTGCGAGCGTGGAGTGTATTGAAACCTTGCACGTTTACGAGCTGAGCAAGTTCGATTTTTATCAAATTGTTAACCACAGGAGTACTGAAACAGACGATCTCTTACGAAATGGTGCTCTCGCCAAGCTGTGTTTTCGAGCCCAGCGTCTAAAGAATATACCGTTGTACACCTTGCTATACGAGCGAGCCTTAACTCCTGTCAAAGAACCAACAAGGAAAGCATCTCTTTGGGCACAAAAGGCCAATCAAATTAGAACTATAAATAAAATGGTCGGCAGCTTGAGCAAAATTCAACCAACGCCTGCAGTGGACAAGACAAATAGCAGCAAGGAAGCCGAGAAGAGGTATAAGAACGGTGGAGATTCATTGGTAAAAACAACCAATGAAATTACGACACTGATCACGTATTGAGATTTCATGATGGGAATAAACCTGTTAAAAAATTTTTCCAAATGCGCTCAATTTCGACTACAGGAAGTCGCCATTTTTAATTTAGCACAGGATACTGTCTGAGCAGTTTCAAATTGCGGATTCCGAAATCGAGTTTTGAGCTCATTTGGAGACAATCTTTGAACGGTCAGGATTAAATTTCGATACGCAGTATTGAATTTATATAACATGGTTTTCACAGCATACTTCTCTTTAAGAGTGAGTCACCCCCTCCCTGTGAAAAAGATTTTGATCGTACGCTGCAACGCGCGGTTAAAATAGTTTTGTTTTTATTTATCACTTTCGACCCCTTTTCATACGGCAATGTCTGCACACATTTGAGTAACACGTTGTTTATCTAGTGGAGACAATACACAAAAAAAGAGCAACACGACAGATTGAACAAAATTATGGGAAACATATATTTTACCGATCAAACTGCACAGAAAGTGGAATTTCCAATTATAAGCGTTACAACACATTACAACAATCATGTCGATATTTTTTTTTTTAAGTTTTCCAACATTCGTTTCATTAACTTAGAGGCACGAGTGGAAACAAAACTGATGACAAACAGCTGGACAAGAAGGTAAAAAAAAATCATGCGCAGAAGCTACAATGTAGGCTATCATTAAATAATCAGAACTAATTGTGTAACAGGAACCACTCCGTTCCGAAGGTTGGGTATCCGAATCAGAGTCAAAAAAATCAACTAAACATTCACTCAGTCAACCAATCAGTCTTTAAGTTAGTCAATCAGCCTTTCATTCACCTAGAAAGTTATTTAGTCCGTCAACAAATCAGCAGGGAGTTATAACAGAGTTATAACCCATCCGTTCAATCAGTGAGTCGGTCAGTCACTGAGTCAGTCGAATGGATATCCTGCTGGCAAACATCAACGTCATTCATCAAAAAGAGTTACAACTGTGTTTAAAATAGGAAATTGTTATCTTTTATCTTGCGATTAATTCTCTACCAAAATGAATCGCTCTCCTGCACACAAGATGTTGTATTCTACAACATGTAGTCTGCTTCAGACGATGCGGTCGCCTAAGGTGGAGCGAAAAGGTTCATGATAATTTAGCTGAATGAGCTTTTAGCCAATCATTAGTTATAGTGAAATTGCATGATTATCGACACACATATCTAAAATGTCTAGTCATTGCCGCGTAATTTGTGATCGTTCAATCGAAGTGCAAACATGTTTTTATGTGATTAAATTCTTCTGAAAGGATGCCTAATGAATAAATCCTCACAAAAACCTTACGAAATAATGGAATACAATGTAAATTTCTGCTTCTTTTACAGTCTGCTCACAGGTTGATGCAGAGGAATTTGCAGAGACGAAGTGTCAGCTGACGGTTTTTGTCCAGGTGTACGATTGGTCAAAAGAGAGATTGCATCTAAACAACCGAGCTTCTTTACTTCCTCTTTGGCTTCTTTTTCCTAACGCATTAATTTAAAATCAATCTTTTGAACCTAGCCTGGTTTATGTAGAACGCTGTGCAGGTGTATTTTTTTTTATAAAGTCCACGGGAGATAAGAGTTTGAGCTGCCCATTGTGGTGTGGTGTTTTAATTGTTAACCTTGAACATCATGAATTATTTTTTGAGGGAAATTGGTAGTCTCGCATCGCCAGTATTTCTTGTATGGCCGGAGAATTTGGATGGTGTGTGTTTTGGTATATAGGTATCATCCTAATTTTCGTCGTATTCATCTTCTGGGTAATGCCGGAGTTCTCTTCGCAGAACTATACTCAATCACCTTCTCCAACATCGGATAACCTACAACTGGGCTTGAAGAAGTTTTCACTGAAGAAGGAGCTTCCCAAAGCGTGGCCATACTATGCAAGGTTTGACCAAACTTGTTTGATGTATTTGTGACGCAACTGTTGTATATGATGAGAAATTCCACTACGTCCCAATGATTGTTCCTCGCGGCGGCCATGGCGGGTGTCTCTCCAAATTGATCACTGTGGAAATAAATAGCATAACTCAGGCATTGTTTGCATGCAACGAGGGTGTTTGCTCCTATGCTTCTACTGACAGGCGACATCTGGAACAGCAGATTTTTAAAATCAGTCTGATTATATTTTGTTAGAAGTTTTCTTAAAAGGCCCTGATGCCAAGAACCAAAAAACTGACCACTGTCATTAAATAATGACTTCTTAGGTTGACAACTTCCGGAAAAAAAAGAAGGAAAGAAAAATTATAATCCATCGGATCTTATCTGTCGTAAAGAGAGCTCAAACGAGCATTTTACTCTAATCGATTAATTCAAATTCCCGAGCATTTTATTTAGATCATCTGTTCAGTTTGTGCGATGCTAACCCGCGCTATTAATGAATGATGTTTAATGCATGTTGTCTGCACGGTCATTTGAGGTAGATTCTGCTGGTGATTACCATACGTTCAGGCCAGCTTTTCCTGTCACAATCTAACCCCCCCACCACCCTCTCCTTCATTGATACTTCTATGTCTTCTTTATAAGCTACTATATAGTACGAGAGTAGGACCTATGAGGTCACTCTGCCGAGTAAGTACCTCTTTCATACCTCTTGTTCTAATATTTCTTATCTGGCACGCCTTAATAGAAACAATCAAGATGAGCTTTTACTTACGTTTCGTTAACTTTGGCTCCAGTCTCCAGAAGTTTCCTGGCGATGTTCACATCCGCTGCGCAATGTAACGGCGTCTTCCCCCGCGGAGTCTTTACATTTACTTCAGGAAATATCTCGGTGAGCAGATCAATGACTTGAAAATTGCCCTTAGTTTCCGCCGCTACATGCAGCAACGTCTTGTCCCATGGACTAACACGAATCTCCTGAAGTTTCTCCTTAACTGAATCTTGCACGTTTATGAGAGTTTGTAATAGATCTCTGTCTCCGCCACTTATCGCGTCAGTGAGTAAGCGCTCGCAGGACATTGATCGAACAAAACCAACTGTGTTGATTCCACGTTGAATTAGCAGCTTAGCCACACACAATGTCTTAGCTAGGACTGCGATTTCCAGGACGGTGTTTTGATAGACATCGAGGGCATTAATATCAGCTCCTCTACGCAGAAGTAGTTCCACAGTAGTCACATGACCGCGTTTAGCTGCCAACATAAGAGGGGTTTGACCATTCAAATTAATGCTATCAACCTTAGCACCCTTTCTTAGTAGGAGAAGTATCGTCTCGTTGTGTCCATTTTGCGCTGCGAAATGTAGGGCTGTGGAGCCTGTTAGGCTTCTTTCCGTATCTTCATAGGTGTCACCTGTGAGATGATTCACATCGCATCCATGTTCGATGAGAAAAAAGATGATTTTATTTCGGCCATTTTGAGAAGCGTAATGAAGTGACATAAGTCCACCGTCGTCTTCGTCGTAAATCCGAGCACCCGATCGAACCAGGAGCATCACCACATCAAGAGAGTTGTTAGCAGCTGAAAAGTGCAAAGCTGTCCTTTGTTTGTTGTCTCTGGCGTCCACTCTTGCTCCATTAGCAAGGAGAAACTCCACAACCTCGGACTTACCAGACGCACATGCCGACATAAGAAGTGTCCTGCCTCGCTGGTCTGTTTTCTCGAGACAACTTTTCCTGTCCTCTTTGAATTTTTTACATCCAGCAAGGACTTTTTGTAACTGGCTCAGACTTCCTTTGCTGACAACTTCGCGTAAAAGATATATTTTGGAACTTTTTCACGGTTTTGTTCAAAATGTGCAATACAGCTTCACTACTGGAATTTTCCTCTATAGGAAGTTTGTCAGGAGAACAGGCCACCGGGGATAAATTAACGTATGCGAGCATGCGAGATATAAGGAAGTCCGCTGTACCTGCTGTAAGAAGTGCTATGGAAATATCAAGGCTGCTCGGGCTAAACCTCAGAATCGTTTCCGTCGTGGACAAATCACCTTTCATAACTAAGGCTTGTATTACACTTAGCCCGTCAGGACCATCTGGATTTGTTAGTCTGTAGAATGCCTGCATCTTAAGATTATCCTTGAGAGAAGAAAAAACGCAACTAAACAATAAGGAAATCTATAGGTGATTTATACATTAATAAGAGTTTCAGTTTAAAGACCACCTTAGTAAAGATAGGCAATTCAAGCGCGATATTTAAGATAAACAAGCTTTCATTTTGAGATCCACGAGAGACTCGTTAGCTTGCAGTCTCCTGCTAAGCTGTTCTCTGAAATGGACCAAATACTTTTCTCCATTTTCGCTTCTCATGCCTTTCTTGGTTTTTCAGTTCGTTTTCGCGGTCACATGCAAGCGTGCGCTGGACTATGGAACGAAATGATAAAGGGGGCAAGTTTCTAAAGAAACTGTGGGGCTGCATCCGTGGGAGAGTATAACAGGGTAATTTGCTATCATTAACTGGGTTGATAGCGTAAATTGGCCGCCGGAAAGTATTCAAAAGTTGACGTTTCGAGCGTTAGCCCTTTGTCAGAGCGATTCAATTTACGTTATCAACTCAGCTGATAATACTAAATTACCCTGCGGAATGAAAGATCTGGGTTTGAGCATGAACCTGACTCTCAAGAGCACTTCTCACTGCCCAGTAGTATATATGCATGGCATCAAAAGACTGTTAGGTAAAGCTCAAGAAAAAAGGAGTGGCTGTAGGGACGCGGATTTCCCCAGAATAGCCGCACTTGGAGAAATAAAAGTACCCATGATATATCAATGATATATAAACGGCATTGGAAGACGATTGAAAACCCATACAGCCGTCAAGCAACTGACCATGTGACGGACGTATCGCAGCTATAAAAAAGGGGGCCATGTAACAGCGCTCGATGTTCAGAATGCATTTTTGAGGGGTCTTTTGACGTTATTTTTCTGTAAAAGCAAAATTTTCTTGCATGATAGTCAAAACGGCCTTTCGCTCGAAACGCGGCGTATGGAGAGAATTCTCTAAAGTATATGGTAAGTAACTGAGTGTTGAGGACTGAATTGAATTATCGTGAGATTTTTTAAAGTCGTGACTCGAACTGTATTCAAGTGTTTGGTTATTTAATTGCGCTGTAATTGGCCGTGAATTCAAATAGGGGTCTTAGTTTTGGAGTGTTTTTCAAGTGCGAAAACCCAAATCCTGAACCAGTCGTTCGAGTGGTCTTCGGTCTTAGGTCTTCTGTCTTAGCTTTCGTGACGACAGCTATCTGATCGCTTATGCCGCAGGACAAGAAAACATTTAAGTAATTCATCCGAACAGAGAATTAGAATGAAATCACGTTACCCTTTGTTTTCTTCCCTTTCATCTTACTTCATTGTTACAGTTTTAAACTTGATCACTAAACGCGAACTGCTAGGGTTTTTTTTTTTGTTAATAGTCCTTGATAGTTAGGAATCGCGGACAGACCCTCAGATCTTCACATCACAAATCATCGCCAAAAGTGTTTCGGTAAGTCAACCACAAGCTCAGATCGGCCAGCCAGGCGCTTCACTTCGATCGAGGAATGGAGAACATACATGATTTCATGGTAATAAGATTAAAAATATTTTGCCAGGAAATTGTTATCTGTATATTTTCGATCGACCTTTGTAATAAAGCGATGCAGTAATACGGTGTGTACAATCTTTAGATCACCCACAGTTTCTGGGAAACCAAGGACCACTGAATCTTTCACACAGGACAAAATTGCAAGAATCCGTAAACGGAAACGTGGCAGAAACATGTTAAACCGTTCCGGAAACACGACGGATAACCTGTGTTTCCGTTACCGGTTTCGTAACGTTTTCTCGCGTTTCCGTTGCTGCGTATACAACGTTTACGTAGACGTAAGACGTAAACATAACGGAAACATGGAGTTACATGTTTCCGCCACGTTTCAGAAATACGGAAACATGTGATTTCGTCCTGTGTCAGTTCTTGAAACGCGATTACAAATGCAAAAGCTTTCCACCAGCCAAACGAATCAACTTACCGGCTCTCTAATTTTGCATTCTTTGGTAACCATTCTGGTTTTTTCCCGTTTCTTTGTACGCTGAACCGCAGGTAAATTAAATAAACACTGACCAGCAACTCCGTGCAAATATATCAACTGATGACAGGACACAAAACACAACCCAGGTTTATGCAAATTTTCAGTGTTTTCAAAATAAAGACACCAGCGGACCGTGAACCATTTACAATACACAGCTACCTGTGGACCACCCAATGAGTTAGTGATATCATACTGGACGCACGAAAGAAACATTGAAATGTCGCAAATGAAGCCCTGGGCCGTGTTTTTCAGAAAAACAATTTAAATTGTATGTATTGTTCCGTTTTTAGAAAAATACCATGGTGTTTCCATGAACTTGAGGACTCTTAAGAAAAGGTTGCGTGAGTTTGGGTTGAGAAGGAGAAACGAAGCCATTCAGAGCACGAAGTTCGGGAAATAATTAAACATGAAATCGAAGGCCCTTCATCATTTCTTTTTCTAAAAACAGAATAATAGTATCATAACGAAATCCTCTTTCAAACTAATGTTCATTGTCAGATCTCTCATCTGACGAACCGTGCAACTCATTTTTCTGTTCGTGTCTCTTTTAAGTTCCACATCGACGGCAGAATAGTTCATTGCTCGCAAATTTTTTCCCACATTTTTGGCAGAAAATCGCAATACACTTGGTACAGTTTAGTACGTTTGCGTAGTGACTCCAAGTCGACTTAGTTCAACCTAGTGCGTCGACAAGATGTGCTGTATCGTGACACAGTGCTGACTACTAGCGCGTGTCAAGTGACAAAAATATTTTTCTCGATTTACGAAACTTCTGGATTTTGGAAAGATTCTTGAATTGTAAACTATTTTCGATTTCCATGAAAGTTATTTGAGGATCCATGAATGAAACCAGGATTTGAAATTGATTTCTCAATTTGACAAACTTTTCAAAAGCGATTTGTCTAAAAGATATCGATTCTAAACATTTTTTCGGATTTGCAAAATATTTCTACATTGTTCCTTTTCGGCTTCCGTAGGCAAGGCCCGCTGAATGATCAAATTTTCAACGCTTCGTTTTCTGAAAATCTCCACGAATTGCAATGAAATTAAGTCGAATTTACCGTAGGAAGTGTTTTCAAGGAGGTATATATATATAGAAATCCACTACAGTATGTTTTCATTTTCTATGATTATTCTTGAAAAGCCATTGAATGATGAAATTGTCTGGGCCTGTCAGGGTTACCATGACGTCGGTCAAGGACGATTGCTTCAGTTTCGCTAGAAAGGAGAGTAAAACTTCAGCTCTCATCGCTGCATTGAGAAAAGATGGACAGCCCAAACTGAAATGATCACACAATGAAAGAATTTGTATTATAATCTGAAATTTAAAAAAAAGAGTATTCATCATACGCTATCAAAATGCAAATATCGTGAACACTATGAAGGGGAAGCTTAACTTCTCTGCTTTCACGAATTATTGCCATTTTGAAAAATTAGTTCACTTTTTGTATCCTGGTGTGTCTTCTTTCAGGTTTTTCTAGTACAAGTTTTGCAGATGAATGTGCTTCTATGTGTTTTTTGTCTTTTAACAAAAACGTCGTTAACAGCGATAGAGCGGACTGAGTATGTACCCTATCAGATACGGTGGCCGTATTTGATTGAAGTACTTTAAGCATCAAAGTCTTGGGTTGTTTTTTGGTTTTAGACCCAGCCAAACATACAGAACTGCCTTTTTCAGGCTTCGGATTGTTTTCAAACTTTGAGGGTGGGTTTTTGGAGACGTCTTTTTGTTGATCAGCGTTGCTGTCTCCTAATTTTCTGCTTTTAAATCTGTTCACTTCAGGTGTTGGTGTTGATCTGTTTAAGAGATATGTGAACATTGATAAACATCAATCATAATGCAAAGCTTACAACTGGGTACCATGCATTTAACCAAGTGTTTGCCCAAAAAGCTGTATCTGCGTCTTCGTAAAAATAATTTAAAACTTCAAATTGCATTGTCCCTTTTCACCCAGTATCAGTATGAATATTCTCCAAACTGTTCTCCATACATTTCTAACAATGCTGATTAGGAGAATTTGTTTGACGATCAAGTGCCTCATAAGTTGGTGATCATTTCTTTTATTCTCGTGAATTTAACGTTTAATGTATGATATAGGGGGGATATTGTTAGGAGAAATTAGATTCTAGTCACTCTTAGGGGGTAAGAAAGGTTAAAGGTTAAAGGTCAATAGTACGAGATATTCTCTTTGACTTGTGCCTATTCAACTTGCGACGTCATCAGTTACTAAGCAAATCATACGATGTAGAGAACAAGAATAATGGTCTGTGCGATTTTTTAGAGTTGGTTTTATCTTTCATTTGAGATTCCATTGGTTCTGGACAACTTTGATGGAACTTTAATGATCAATACACTTATGAAGAATGCTTTTCCCTTCTTCGTGAACGGGCTGCCACTCCCTGTTGCGTTGATTCTCAAATATAATTTGCATTGATTCGTTTTTGTTGTTGTTTTTTTTCTTTCTTTTACTCAGCGAGAAAGTATAAACTTACTTGCCCTGTTTGGGCGGTGTCTCCGTATCGGGCTTGGGTTCTGGTTCGGATGTTGTTGCTATCAGTCGTACAAAGAGAGCGCAGAGGGCGAGAGCAGCAAGTAACACCAGGTAGAAGGTAGAAGAAAGAAACACTTCAGCCATTTTGAAGCGGAAAGGAAAACCTGTTGAGAATGTAATGTTTAGAATCATATACAGATTCGAGTCTAAAAGCCGTTCTCAATTTCTTGGGAGCAAGTTGTTATCAGTCCTTTGTAAAAAAATTCCTGCTGGACCTTGACCAAAGAGGGGTTCTTTTAGTACCACTAAACCTTTTTGTTGCTTCATCTCACGATGTTAAAGAGGTAAGTTTTACTCCAAAACAAAAGGTAAAGCAAAAGATTTAACAAAGCCAGTAAAGAAAAAACCCAAAAGTCAGAAATCTCGTAACCACCTTCGGTGGGACACGTTTGTCGAACAGGCATCGACCTGCCTAAGCTGGTTCCCAGGTTTGCCTCGAGCTCTACTGTGTAGGTATATTCATGGGTTTGTTGCGTCGTCAGGTTAGCACAAAATGTTAATTATTTGTTGTTGTTTGGACTCTGCTATGGGTTTACTTAGAATTGAGCCAGGTTCGCTTTTCCTTTGTTAACTTAACTTCCTCTGAAGGCATGTGGTAAATTTAGGAGTAATACATTGTGTGTGTAAAGATTTCATTAAAGATATCGACTGATGCAGAATTGATTTCACCATGATCTGGTCTTGAGTATATTTATGCAAGAGGGGATACTTTATCCTTTCTTGATTAATGTAAGGGGACATAAACGTGTCTGATCAATGATTAACCCTCTATGGCTCCCATGATCCGCCTATTACTTCTCCCTACCGATCACCAGACATCTCCTTGTAAATAAGACAAAATAATTTGGTTCTCCATCAGGACCACACTGTTAAGCTCAGTGAGAAGTTAGTCTGTTCTCTTTTTGTACTGAGGCTTTTTCTTTCATCAAAGAGTTAAGAAAAGCTGCAAGACTTCCTATACGCCGGAAAATGAAGCACTCAGTTCCGATGAGAAATTCAGAACACCAAATGAAAACAACAAGAAAATATTGATCGAAGAGGGATACAACAGTCCTAATACACATCGGTACTTGTGAGCGGTTTTCGAGGGGTAGAAAATGATACGCACTTTAAAGAAAAAGAAAGAGACTTCTACTTGAAATAAAATGGGAAACACCTTGACTCACCAGCAGAGAAGGAAGCTTGAGAAAGTTTTTGCCGCAGAATCTTAATGGCAGCCGACTGAAGGAAGACTTCAACACGCATCACGAACCGAACCTTTTCATGCCACAGAAAAACTACGTGAGTGGCAACAATTGCTGGCTACGTCATAATTAAATAAAGATTTCTAAGCACGCGCGTATGTTCGCGCGTATACGCTTCCTATTCTCGCACATTGCGAGCCCTCAATCATAATCACTCTCTCAAGCAACCCCCTCCCGCCCAGACAACAGTTCCAACTCTAAAGAAGCTGGTAACGAATAGCAATCCAGCCCTTACAGCCACCCCCTTAATAAATATTTTCGCTATACTAATGAGGACAAAATGGCGGCTGCTGTCGAAGTCCGATGGCCTAACGAGAAGGATCAGTACGAACTACAAGAGGTGATAGGTAAGATAATTATGGTAATTTTTCAAATTAAATTACACAGCTTTCTCCAGATATAAATTTTCTGTTCAGGGTATGGTGCGACAGCTGTTGTTCAAGCTGCAAAGTGCATCCCTCGCAATGAGCGTGTTGCTGTGAAGAGGATTGATTTGGAAAAGTGCGGCGCAAGTATTGACGAAATGATGGTAAGTTAGCTGCTGTGAATTATAGAATTCGTTTATTTCAATTGTAAACTAATTATTCCTAATTTATATCTATGATGATCATGTAGTGAGATTTCTTGCTGCGGTATTTTTCCCGGACCAACAACAAGCCGATCATATGCTATCAAGAAAATCTACTGACAGATCGAGGCCGTTACTAACCAATCGACATCTGCTGGTTTCCTATGGACCAATGATTGTATAAATAGCCTGGTTTGAACTAATATTTTACAGCCATTTACGTCGAGAAGAATTGTGGAAAACATTGTCTATTCCTCAAAAACCGCTCGCAAGTTGAATTTCAGCTCACGTCTCCCCCCAAAAAATAGAATTAAATGTTTGCTTAATTAATTTATCGCCTTTTCCACGATGACAGCTTACACTCGAATGATTTCAAGACTGTGTCTGTTTTCATTCTCAAGTGATCTGTGGACAATTTTTCAAGTTTTTGTAGGTTTCGAACCGTCTTTGCTGTTTTTATCTCATTGGTCTTCATTAACCTTTGTTTTTGTGCAAAAATGTTCACTTTCGTTTGATTACGGAATCTGTCGACATTTGCATATACAGTTAATGTTCTGCTTGTGCACTTTGTGGCTTGCTGCTGGAAAAGTATGATGTAATGAACAGAAAAAAGGTAGTTAAAAGGTGGAACACAGCTCAAGAAAACTGAGGGCCAGTCAAGGCTTTATTAGAGATGAATTTACAAGAATCTTTAAGTAGAGCAATCATTCCAGTTGTTTGAGTTGCCACTGTAAACTTCATGTGGGTAGAATCTTCCGCTTTGTTAAAATCTGTGGGGAAAAAAATATGTTCCTGATAAGGGAATCAGTTTTGTATTTTATTGCAGTACAAGTTCTACATAAATGTTATTTGAAGGAAGTTTTGAGGAATGCTTCTAGGAGTAGTGCTCTGACTGTGTTATACTCTCTCATGCAGAAAGAAATTCGCACTATGAGCCAGTGCAATCATGAGAATGTTGTGAATTACTACACATCATTTGTGGTGAAGCAAGAACTGTGGATAGTCATGAGGTTGTTAAATGGAGGTAGGAAACTAGTTAGGAATTTTCAAAGTGTTGGAACAATTCTTAATTAAAAGATGCCACAATTGAGATTTTCAAGGTGTTCTGTTAGAATATTTTCAAGGTGTTCTGTTAGAATATTTTCAACCTGGTCTGCAAGAGACATGTAGGAAAATTTCTCTCAAACACGAGGCAAATTTAAACCAACAAACTCTGAAGAAACATCATGAGTAATCTGTAAAGGAGAAAGATGGCTTCAGATTCTACTGATTCTGAATGACTGCACTAAACAAAGTTGGGCTAAATTTGTGTTGAAAGAATAGTTGAAATGATACAACATACATGTAGACATTAGTAGGCATATAACATCAATAATGCCACTTTTCAGTAAGTGTCAAGAAATTAAATTTGATTTGAAGTGCAGAGTGTTACAATTTCCCCTTTGTCCCACTCATTGTTGTACAAACACAGACAACAATTTGTAACATTGTTCAGATGGAGAGGGGTTGTAAATAAGGGTACTGGAGATGAAATTGGTGTGCTGGTCTAAAATATTTCATTTTCATTGTCAGTGCTACAAATTCAATGCTGATTAGAGTGTCAGATCTGGTTTGGATTGTGGTATTGAAGTTAAATTTACATCAAGGTTATACTAAAATATCATATTATTTAATATATAAATGCATGTGAGGTATTCTACCAATGAGATAGAAAAAGTAAAGAAGTAAAGCCTTTATACAGGCCCAAATGGCCCATGGGGCCGGCACTTAACTCCAGTTTCCTTAGCATGAAGTGGCTAGGAGAATTGCTACTCCCCCCTGGATGGGATGGTAGTCCATCGCAGGGTTACCCCCAGCATATTTTCTGTTACCCATTTGAACACCTGGGTGAAGAAAAGCACTGTGAGAGTAAAGTGTCTCGCCTAAGAACCCGGACCACTTGATCCGGAGTCGAGCGCACTAACCATGAGGCCACCACACCTCCACTAATGAAATAGAGAAAGAAGTTAATTTTGATTTTATCAACTGAGTTGATAATGGAAACTGGCTGTTAAGAGTTTCAAAGCTGACATTTTGAGCATTAGCCCTTCTTTAGAGCAAAAGAGAAGTTGTTTGGCTCATTCTCATATATAGACTGTGTACTCTGTTAAAAAGTTTTGAATAAACCACAGACTGAAGAAAACTATTGGATCACTCTTTTTGCTTATTTTAAAACAATTTTGGCTTGAAACTTTCTGAAAGATGTTTTCCCATGTGTTTATATTGTTGATCTTCTTGTATGTGTATCTTAGGTTCAATGCTTGATGTCATCAAACACCAGAAGAAACAGGGTCACCTTGTCGATGGTGTACTTGATGAGGCTGTCATAGCATCTGTTTTGAGAGAAGTTCTAAAGGGTCTGGACTATTTTCATAGCCAGGGGCTAATACACAGGTAAATTGTTCTGCATGATCAGTGTATAATTGAATACTGTGTAAATGTCAAGCTGGCTTTCATTGATCAACAAATAATTTCAATGGAATGTTGGAAGTAGTTAGGGTCTTTTAGGTTTCAGTTCAACATACTGTAATCTTTTTTTATTGCTAAAAGGTCTTGCTGCTCTGTTGACTAATTAGACCCAAATATAAAATCATTTTGACATGGTCTCACATTTTCCATTGCATTAGATTCTTGGATTGTCGTTTTAGGTTTTCCTTGACACCTGTATCAGCCAAATTAAATTAGATTGAGTAATTTTAAGTTAACCCTTTACACCCTAACATCAGTATGCAGATTCTCCATACTGTTCTCCATACATTTCTGAAGAGGCTGACAAGGAGAATCTGTTTAACAATCAAGAACTGCTTTAGTTGGTGATCATCTCCTCCATTCTCATGACTTTCATGTTTGATTCAGGGGTCATATAGAAAGGAGAAATTAGATGCTAGTCACTCATTGGGTTTAAAGGGTTAAATCATCGCCTACCCATTACAAACATCCATAAGAGGGTATCACATAAGATTCTATTGATTACCTTAATCTTCCTTATCCATCAATTGCAGGGATGTAAAGGCTGGTAACATTTTGCTGGCTACTGATGGCACAGTTCAACTGGCTGGTAAATAAATTGAGAGACTATTTATCTGTTCCTGTGTAGAGTTATATTTCTCATTAAGAAAAGCCTGTTATCCTCATCTTTTGTATTTTTTGTGGCCTTCCTTGTAAGTGCTTCTATGAACAGAAGTCATGTATTTAACATGGCAAGCAGTATGTGGTGTTCATCTCCAAATAGTCTTCTCCATCAGTGTTTTATTGTCTTAAATATACTGCTCAGTGTCTAAAGGTCCCTCCTTACAAGGGTTTCCTGCCATCCTGGCCCCATTCACATAACATGAGGGGTTTCCTGCCATCCTGGCCCCATTCACATAACATGAGGGTCTATAGTATCACACAAACAAATGTGATTTTGTTTTGTAGACTTTGGTGTCAGTTCAGTTATAAGTGATTATGGGGATAGGTCAAGACCCAAGGTCAGGAAGACGTTTGTTGGCACACCATGCTGGATGGCGCCAGAAGTCATGGAACAGGTATGATCATGGTAGCTTTTTTTCTGGGATACTTATTAATACTATGAAGAGGAGTCTAAGGCTCCTTGAAGTTCATGTTTTGCAGTTTGTATGTTGATGTATTTATTCAATTCAGTGCCATGGGCCCATATTAAATTTATGGATGCTTATTTAAGGTGAATGTTTAATAAATTTTCCTACCTTCAAGGTAGACACTTATTTAAAGTTGAGAATTTAATCAAATAAATACAGCATGCAAACTGTATTTAGTTTGTTAAGTGTGGGGTGAGTGTACATTTTGTTTGGCCCACTTTAAAACCGTACCTTGAAATATGAGGATAGTTGGTTACATGCCTATGTTACCTGCACCTAGTAGGCAAATAAAAGAATTCCTGTGGAGCTGTTTCCCTATTGTCAGCCAATTTCATGCTCATCCTCCTGTTTGCTCATCTTTGCTTTTAACCCTTTAACTCCCATGAGTGACCAAGGCAGAATTTCTCCTTACAATATCAATACAATATCAACCAGATAAGTGATGAGATTAAAGGAAAATATCAAGTTGGGGATAATTAGTGGATCCAAAACTAAATTCTCTGAACTAACATCATGATAATTGTATGGTTGACAATAAGGGGAATTACAAATTTGATCTGGGGATTAAAGGATTGAGAGCCTTCTCATGATCTGAAAGAAAGGAAAATGTTATCTGTTCTACACCAGTTCGAAAGTTTAAAAGAGAGGGAAATTTGAGCCACAAAGCTTGTCTGAATGTTACATGTAAAACACTGTATGCTGTTTCAAAAACTGAGCAGAATTAGTTACAGTATATTGTTCCAACTAACTTGTAAATTGATCTGTGTGGAAAGTGCTAGAGTACAGGGATGTATGTTGTCAGCTTTCTGTTCCACTAACATTTAAGAACACTAAGGTGAGGGACCATGTTAACTGTGAAATGATAATAATGCAGTTTGTGCATACACCATATATTTACATCATCAGGTTCATGGTTATAACCACAAAGCCGATATCTGGAGTTTTGGTATTACAGCCATTGAGTTGGCCACTGGAATTGCTCCATATGCAAAGTTTCCAGCCATGAAGGTAGGATTGTGAGAACATGTCGAAAAATTGTAGCAAAAATGTGCCTTCACTTGAACATCTACACGTACATACATTGATCAGTGGATTATTACTTCTGTTTGGATTCAAACAAACTTCCCCAAAATTAGGGAGTCAAAGAACTCTATTGATAAGTTGTATGTCAAAAAGTAAAAGCAGTGAAAAAAAAAGTAAAAGCAGGCAAAGAAAACAGTGCCACGTTGCGATATTTTCTGTCATCATAATTATGTATTGGACAGGATTTCTGTTTTACAAGATAAAACATTGCAGCAATCTACAGCTTGTCACTGTAGTCCAGCAAACTCCAGAGGTGTAGGCTAGACCTGAAAACACAAAACAAAACAAAACAATAAGGGGGATGATTCAGGATGAAGGACTTTAATACAGACTCTACATGTAAATAATGAGCAGGGAAAATTTGGGTACAAATTGTGATGCACTGCTTCACTTGATATTCTGTTGTCTGGCACTATTGACAATGTACAAGGCTGCTGAGCAGCAAACCACTTTACTTTACATAAGCTGCTCCCTTTGATTAGACGGTCAAGATGCAGTTTGTACCCACATATGTGTACTTTGTATGTGAGAGTGTTGCAGTGCATTATGCATTTATTCCAATCCATGTGAAACCCTTCACATGTACTGCTCTCTGTACATTTTCCATAGAACTTATTGGCAGAATTTGCTTAATGATCAAGAGCTTGACCTTGAAATAATTTCTCTTATTCTCATGACCCTAATATTTGATTCATGGTTGATATTGTAAAGATAAATTTGATAGTGGTTACTCCAAGGGGTTAAAAGGTTAACATGTTGATTTTAGTTGCTTAAATTATAAAAAATCTGTGAGGTTATTTGGAAAGCTCAGTCTCGTGGTCCTGTGAGCAAGCCATGTTTCAAATTTTCAGCCACATTTCAGGAAATATATATAGCCGGTAAGTGCGTAAGAAATTATTCCATGTCTGAGTACCACATTTCAATCCTCGTTAGGTCCTGATGTTGACGTTACAAAATGACCCACCCTCTATTGACACTGTGGCACAGAATGAGGGCAGCAAAGACAACTACAAAAAGTATACCAAAATTTTTAGAAAAATGATAAGCAGCTGTTTGGTAAAGGATCCCGCTCAAAGGTGAGGTATCATTATGCATGGGTAACGTGTGTGGTATAGAAATTTATGTATCATCTCTGTCACTTTCGCTAAAGCTTAAAAAGATCACTATCTTCATTTCTTCAGCAAAATATGTGTCTGCCACCGTAGTGTACCCCTGGCCATTTCAAATTTTGTCCCCCTCCCCCTCCCCCTCCCTCCTTCCACTCAAAATGATAATGCGCTGACATTTATTGTGTGTTTTATTTTCTTAAGACCAGACGCTTCTGAACTTCTAAAACATCATTTTTTCAAGAAAGCCCGGGTACGTGTGTGAATTACATTATGGGTCAACCGATTGTCTTCCTGAGCTTAAGAGTACAGGCATGCAAAATTCTCGTTAGCTATTGGAAATGGTGGTCTACCGTTCTCAGACCTTAAATCTAGATCTCTCTTTGGTTTAAATTTTTAACGCAATAGAGAGCTGCATAGCTTAAAATACCTCATCCCCTGATGAGTTCTTGCCTACAGTTTAATGGAAGACAGACGTTTAAGTGACGTCGCCAGTAGTAATTTTTCTCCTTTATCATGTAAAACAAATAGATTCCATGTTGTCGTGGGTTTGTTCAACAATAAGAGTTTTAATCCACGTTTGGTGTGCTCATCGCTAACGTCAAACCGCGGTCAGCAGTTTGTGGTGAGAAGTTAGAAGTGTCGAGGCTTTCAGCTTTTTAGATCGACGTCGGCTTTCACCTGAAAAAAAGTGAACACGTGCGCCGCCCTCTTGAATTACACAAAAGACAGGGGTCCTTCATTTCAAACACAAAACGTGGCTTAAAGATTGGTTTCAAGACTTCACCTCACTTATATTTGTAGGACATACGTGGGAACTTTCGAACAGGAAAAAAAAAAAGCGTGGAGGGGGTTAAATTACCTGAAACTGCCTTGCCCGAAGTTCAAACGTGAACGGCAATCAGCGCACGTGACCACTGGAATCTGGACACGTGACTCAGAAACATAGAGGATCGAAAACTGCCTAATAAATCACAGAAGACCTCAAATTGCGTCTAATAACATCAGTTACACACTCGACTACCATTTTTTTTGTTCTTACCACATTTTGACGTTATCTAAAATCTATTATTCAACAGACTCGCAGTAGCATGGAATCTACTTGTTACATTATGGTACCCTACATAGCTAGGGTTACCTTCACAGGTTGCCGTACAAATATTTTAGTGTCAGATACAAGTTCAATTCTAAGTAAGCATTTACCATGCTGTTCACTGTTAATAAAATTTACTTACATCAGCGAGCTGGAAAACCTGATGAAGTTTGTATTCAGTGAAAAACAATATATTTTGCTAAGGCTCTGCCATTTTTATTTCCTCTTTTTTTGTTTGAGTGGTGAGAAGAAGATTTGATTGTTTAAATTGTCCTCATCTTGTGTTCTTGCAGGAAAAGGATTTTCTGGTGGAGACGTTGGTCCCGCTAATGCCTTCTCTGGGTGAAAGATCACAAAAGGTACTTAGGATTATTTAACCCCTAAAGTCCCAAGATGCGAATTGCAATTCTCCCGTCAAGCTGTTATCATTTCTTTGTTAGAGAGCCAAGAGAATTTGGTGTTTGATCAAGAGAAGTACCCTCAACCGATACGTTTGTGTATCCTTAATACATTTGTGCCGGATAATAAGTTGAAATTGAGGGGAGAAGTTACATTTTTATTCCTTTGGGGAGTTAAAGTGTCTAATGGACTTGATCCGTAATGATATTGTGGTCGAATGTTTTTTTTTCGTATTCGATTTCCCTGATCATTTCGTTGCTGTACAATCGTTATTTAGACTTATCACAAATGCATTATATTGTGTTCGCTTATCTTCGTTTTAAGGTTAAGCGAGTCCCAGGCTCCAGTGGACGACTTCACCGAGCTGCCGATGGCAGCTGGGAGTGGTCTGATGACGAGGCGAAAAACGACGGTGACAGCGACGGTGAGGGTGACGATGAAAAATCGGCAAAAGCAGATAATGTCAAGGTAAAATAATAAACGATTGATAGGTAAAAAATTTGGTTCGGAAATTGTACCGTAGTAGACTGTGAATGATAAAGAAGCCTTACTGTTGGCTTAGTGGACTCTGGATCGGACGATTCAGCTTAGAACCTTGGACGGGTTGTGTGTATTATTTTCTTAGGCAAGACACTAATTTTGAAAGTGCTTTTCTCTACCCAGGTGTATTAATAGTTCGGAAAAAACTTGACATAGAAGGTAGTCCTTCAACCCAAGGAGTATTATCTCATATTTTGAGATTTTAGTCCTCGCATCGCAGGATACACCCCATCTTTCCGCAAAGTTTCCCTCAAGAAAGTAGACTTTCGTTTCAACACAATTGACTCATAATCTAGAAGTGTTATAAAACCGCTGGTAAAGTGACGTGGTAACTTTAGCTTTTCATCGTAGTGTACAATTACAACAACAAGGACGGAAGTGTAATTATCTGTCTCACGTTGTAATCACTACCAGCGACATTAAGACTGCAGACTTCTCCAGGCGATTAGATCAACTGCCTATGCAACACCTAAGCAAACTTTACGTTCTGCTGCCATTTGTTTTTTGTTTCAATAGCTTAGAGTGGCACGTTTCTTTCATTTGTGCACTAAGGACACACGCCAAGGAAACAAATCGAAATGCGTCAATCACAGCTGTTGAAAATCAATCAATGACAGCGGCGCACAATGTTTCATAACTGTAAGCTTAATTAGTCTCCTGAAGAGGACTGGCAATATGCAGACGAGACGTAGCAATGAGAGACAAACGATATCACCCCATTATTCTTTATTACCGTACCATGAGAACAATAAACTAGGACTACCTTAAAGACTAACATCAGTATACTTGGGTTACATGTTTTCAATGTTAATTAACCATTTACTCCCAAACATCAGTATGCATATTCTCCATACTACTCCCTAGACATTTCCTAGGGTTCTGACAAGGAGAATTTTTCGACAATCTTTGGTTTGTGATCATCTCCTCTATTCTCACGACCTTAGTGTTTGATTCAGGGATGATGTTGTAAGGAGAAATGAGATGTTGGTCGCTCTTGGGGGTTAAAGGGTTTAAATATGAAAAACTGTCTTTTTCTTCTTTCAGGAAAGTGCACCAAAATCCGAAGGACCAAAAGTCAACATTCAACCGTCCACACCGACATCGCCTAAACCTCGTAAGTCAAAACGTTATTTCTAATCAGACGTCAGATTTTTTTGTATCGTAAACTCATCTGCGTGCTAACCGTGCAAGTGGCGAAGGGAGCCAGTTAAAGTATCCGAGAACATTAACCACAATTTTAGGTTACTCGAATGACTTTACGCGTTTGAAGTGCAGAAGTCGTTTTCAAGCCGTTCAAGATTTGATCTGTACGGTGCACAATAAAACAAGGATCCTTTTGTTTTTAAGCGAAGATTTTGCTTCATGACTGTACCGATCATTTTGTGTCAGCACGGTTATCGGGATGGATTTACCTTCTATTTTTATCTGCCTTCTCACCCTGCTTCATCGCACCAATTTTTTCAGCTCATACTGTTAGGTATGTTCTTGACAAACAATGTCGCGAGAATTCAGTTAACTCTTCGTCACACAAGAACACTTCGAGCCTTGGTTAAGATACTTTACTTCAGGAAGCGCTGCGAAGAGAAATTTTTAAACGAGAGTTGAACGTAATCCGCGTCTTAGTGTGTTTTGTTTTGTTTTTCTTTTTTTTTCAGATAATAACCTCTGCTCTCATTGACTGAAGTAGAAAACTCTTGCAATCCTGTCATCAGTTCGGAAGCCTACTTCGTTTTCCCGCGCTTGCATCGGTTTTTCTCGTAAATAAATATACCATTTAAGTTCTCGTTGGCTGCTTTTAATTTGGACTTTCTTTTTCATGTTTGTTCTGATCAGCTTCGGCGAGTACTTTGACACTATTTTAAGACAATCATTCGAAAGGCGCTCCTCTCCTTAGGTTCCTTCCTAACGGTGCAGAAAACTTGCGAAACAGTACTCTTGATCCCGCAGGTAACAATGTTTTGGTGTTCACCCTGATGTTCATTAATATTTTCACTTTTCAGCGGCACAAATCAACTTGGATCTTACTCTCAGACTAAGGTGAGTTGTTAATGTTTCTCGTCCGTAAAATGTCTAGTGATAGGAGCGCGAACCTTGCGTTTGTGAAATGATTATCATGAAAACTGTGCCGTTATGTCAGCAGTGAGCGAATGCGCTGGACTCCTGATCGGGAGGTCTGGGCCCAAGCCCTGGCCGTCTCATGGTGTTCTGTTGTGGGGTAAGACACTCTTCTAACGCATTGCCTCTTAAAAGGGGGTAGCTATCAAGGAGAACCTGACGTAATAATGGGGTCGACCTTGTGGTGGACTGATATTACTACACGTGACTGTATTTAAATTTTTTTTCTTTCATGCGCATAACTGGTAATAGTTTCCTTCCTCCGTCAATCTTTTCAGGATAAAGGTATTCATAATTAGCGCGCCTACGTTGACTGTATTTCAGTTACAGCGTGGATATAAGTGGATATATATCGAATTCATAGCTTTCCCCTCAAACTCCTTTTTTTTCCCTCAACAGAAATGCAAAGAAAGAACTGAATGATATCAGATTCGACTTTACTCCTGGTAAAGGTTAGTGAGATATTTTGCCTCGTTTCCAAAATTTCTTGATTTCCAGTTCTTCTTATGGACAATAATTCATTTTAACCTGTTGTTTTTTCCCCTGGGTTGTTTACCTCGTACAGCTTTTTGTTTCTGTTTCGTTTAATTGACCTTCTGAGTTGCAGAAAACGTCTCCAGCTAAGGACTGTTACACTTCATTATCTTTTGATATTTTTAATAATTTCTAGCTTGTTTCCCCTCTTGGTTTGCTATACATACTGTTACCCTTGCGAACAGATCGACAATCTCAATGAGCTATGCAGTAATATTGCATTACATTTCTTTGGTAGTTCATATATTTATTTCTAATTATTATTTTCATCAATATCATAATCACCATCGTGATCGTTAACATTATAAGTATTGACGTGATTTCACTGTCACGCTCAGCGGTTTTGGAGCTCTGGCCCCGGTTGTTCAAAGCTGGGTTAAGGTAACCCGGGGTTAGTGTGAAATTTGATTTCAGGTCTGAAAACTTTAAGAGAAAATTCAGTTCAAATCTTTTTGCTTGCAATTTGATCGTTGGATATTCTAAAAAAAATAGTGAAAATTTTCCCAAAAAGACTTTTGAACAAAGAAGTAAAGAAAGCTGGATTAAAAATTTAACCTTGGGTTAGAGCTAATCGGCCTTTGAACAACTGGGCCCTGGTGATAACTGGTTTTTTTCTTTTTGTTATGTTTTCGTTTCACCCATTCTGATCTGGTGCCACTACAGATACTGCAGAGGGTGTAGCACAGGAGTTGGTTTCAGCAGGTTTAATAAGTGGGCAAGATTTAGTTGTTGGTAAGAAAGTTTAATTGAATTCGTAATTCAATTTAATCCAATCCTATAATTTTTCATTAGTTATTGTTTATGTTGTTGTTAGTGCAGCAACTCCAGCTTTTGTTTACGTCCTTGTTGATGCTTTTCAGATTGGGCGCTCCATCTGAGAAAAGAATGGGGGAGGGGGCATAGGGGGGCATAGTTGCAGTGGAACAGTTGTTTATGACAATCGAAGACGTAAAATTTGTTGATATATTCCCGCACTCCAGTGTCTCATAGGGGTCTTTTTTAACAGTCCAGATTTCTTAGTTAAATTGTTATGTTCCTACGGGTTCGAAGTTTAAGTGCATTTTTACCCTATTAACTGTTTGTTGCTGATTTTTCCCCTTAGCTGTGCAGGCAGTGAATTTTATTTATTATCAATATGCATGTTAATGTTTCATTTTCAGTTGCTGCCAATCTAAGAAAAGTAATCGATGATCCCCCAAGCAGCAAGTCTATGACTTTTCCACTTGTGAGTATATTTGCTTGTTTTAAGTTACAAACATTTCTTCAACCCTTTGCGCTCTTACATCAGTAAACGCATTCTCCATTGTGTTTTCTATACATTTGTTATAGAATTAAATATGAGAGTTTCCAGAACTTCTTATGTTGGTGATCATTTCGTTTATTCTCATGACCTTAATGTGTGATTTTAGCGATGATGTTGTAATGAGAAATTAGACGCTAGTAAAAAAGGAAAAAAAAACGGAGCTTCGATGAAACAACACCTGTAACGGATAAGCAAACAATGAGATAAAAAAGCGCTCAAAAAGGTCGATGTGCATACATAGCTACCACAACCACAATATGGAAATTTAGTGTTAACAACTGGGTTGAAAACGTAAAATTGGCCACCGTAAAGGGTAAAAAAGCTAACGTTTCGAGCGGTGGCCCTTCGTCGTTAGCCCTTCATCAATCGCTCTGATGAAGGCTAACGCTCGAAACGTTAGCTTTTTTACCCTTTACAGTGGCCAATTTACGTCTTCAACTCAGTTTTTAACACTAAATTACCTGCTATACTCTCCCACCGACGCAGCACCACAGTTTCTTTAGAAACTTACCCCCTTTACACAATAAGGAAACCTTTTTAGGGTAGATGTGTGTAGTGTTTCATTTAATTTATTTGTTTTGTTTTACTACTTTTTTCCCAATAATTGCAGAAATCAAGTAGTCATGAAGCTCCCGATGATAGGACGTTGATTGGATTCGCGCAGCTCACGATAAACTCTTAGCGACGGTGGAACAGCACTAGTAATTCAAAAAGAAAAGAAATATTAAAGTAATCTAGTTTTGTGGCCCTCTCCATATTCCATTTTTTAGCTATATTGTTCTCGACAGGATGTAAGAGAAATCATTGGACGAATTAAGTCGAGAAGAGTTAATGCAATCGTAAGAGGAAATTAACCAATGGAAAAGCTGCAGCGAGCAGTTAATCCTTTAATTCCTAGAATAGATTAACATTTAGCTTCTGCTTTCAATATCTATAAATTCAGCAGCAAACAGGTTGTGAAAATACTCAAATCCATCAAGCAGAAATTGTCATCTTGATCCAACACCAAATTCTCGTCGCTAATTTGCACGTTAATGTGTCGCAGCTGGAGGGGAGAATTAACATTCAGACCCTGGGGTCAAATGGTGCAGAGCCGGCCCATAAAATTGTTCTCCTAGAATGAGAAAGAAACTAAATTTTTCGCTTGGTCGTCAATTAAAGAAAGAGGGACAACGGAACAGTTATGAACTTCCACGAGGAAGAAAAAAACCAGTTTCACCATCTTTCTCCTTTTCCTACTGAATGTACCTGCACATAGATCTGATCCTAGTGGTGTGCAAGACGTTTGTTGCGTGTGGATCTGGTAATAACCTCTTATTAAACGATGTCCTATGTGGCTCAGTGGTAGAGTAAAATCTGAAGGTTTTGTGGTTCGATTCCTCATAGGAACTAATCAATTTTTCTTTCTGAGACGCTAGCTACAAAACGGAAAACATTTTTCTTTTTGTCCCCTTTAGTTACATAAAGGGGCTGTTGCGTAATATTTAGCAACAGCACTTACAAATGTTGGGGTTCTATAAAAGGTCCTTTACGGACTTTGCAAGTTAGATTGAAATTTTCATTGTCTTTTTGTTTTGTTTGTTTGGATATCCAAAGGGCAAATTTCCTCTTGATCGCTACAACAAAAGAGAGCATGATATTCACTCGGCAGGAATATTATGTGTGGGAAATGCGTTTAATGCCTCGAGGACAGTTAATTGCTTCATTACCCCTTGGTTCTGTATGTCTTGTTTCTCTGCGAGTTTGAGCTCTATTTTGGTATTTCTTTGTGAACAACTCCATACCAGCAGATCCACACACGAGAACTCGGTCCTTTGGAGGGAAATATCATTCTCGTCTAGCTTTGGCTCCTGATTGGCATAAAAGGAAAATATCTTGGTTCTGATTGGTGGAGGCACAGTAATACACATTTCATATTGTCCCTCATTTGAAAATCTTTCTTCCTGAACTATTTGTACTCTTGTCTTCCTTTGGCTCCTAGTATGCTCGAAAGGAAATATCTTGGTTCTGACTGGTCAAGGCACAGTAATACACATTTCATACTGTTCCTCGTCGAGAAATCTCTTCTCGTTAACTTCAAGTGTGTGTGAATTTGTGCTAGTCATGTATGCATAGATTGGGACACGTTCAATGCATTCATATACAACGTGCTAACTTGTCTGAAGTATATACCTCACTACTGCTAGATAAACTGAGCTAGAAAGTATTTTATTAAACAAATATGAGTTCATGTGATGGCTGTTGTTTATTTAATGCATTCGTTCCAGGAGCACCTGCTAGAATGGGCACAACATTTGTCTTGGTGTTCTGGTATACATACCCGTGCGGGTCCTGGGTTCGGTTTTAAGTCGTCCAGGCGGTCTTAAACTTTCTGGGGTTTCGTCTGAAAGTTCTTAGTCCCACTATTGGCTTTAAGCTGACTTCATGAACACAGAGACGTGAAATCAGCGCAAGACAAGGGTACTAGTGTGTATCCCTTCTAACACCCTGAGGTAGCATCCAGAGCAGCTTTCGGAGCATCGTCTTAAATTGTCTTAAATGTCTGAAAACGCAGATCGCCTACGATGTTTGGGCCACCTGTGGTGACACTGGCTAGGTCCTCTATCCTCTTAAGATATTTTTGCGCTGCCAAATTGGATCCACTTGCTCATTATTTGACACTCGACCGCTGTGTTTGGGTTGTGTCCAAACCTTACCGGCCAGAGGTACGCCTGAGGAGTACTAGTAACGAGTTTCCGAGTCGAGTGATTATCGGAAATTGTCGGCTATTGCAATATGACGGACTACTCTAGGAGCACTATTTGCGATTTACCAACAGTCAAGCGATGTGATTGAACCAGACATGAACATTATAACATACTTTGCATGTGAAGAATACATTATTGAGTTTAAATCTAAGAAATTTCGCTAAATTTTGTGTGGCTGTTTCCTTCACCCTCGTCGATCTTAAGTTTCTTGTTCAGCAGAGCGTTAGCTTAACATTGTGGCCGCTAAGACTTACGCTTGCAATGGTAAACAACAGTTATGAATAGTATCGCCGCTATAATGCCCTTGTCCGAGTGCTACTGTTTGGAAAGATCCCCAAGATGAAATTTCTACTGTCTTGTACCTCCAGCCGGTAGGATCTCAGGAGGCTTAAAAAAATCTTCCCAGCTAGAGGTACAACTTGCATATCTAGTCAACTTTGCCTGATTGTTACCACGATTTGTTTCGCATTTTACTTTTTCTATACTCCAAATTAGTTTTACACTCTTTTGAATCACTTTTTTCGGGAATACGTATACAATTTTTTTTATTTTTATTTGGTCTTGAACCTCTAGCTGGTAGGATCTTGCCGGGCTCATAAAAGAGGTACAGCTTGCACACTTAGTTGACTTTCCCAGTTTGAATTATGGTTTGCTCCACATTTTACTTTTATGCACTTCAAGTTGTAGTCTTACACTCCTTGGAATCACTTTTCACAAGAGTACGTTTACATTTATTTTTTTATTTGGTCTTGTACCTCATGCAAGTAGGATTTTAAGAGGCTTAGAAATACTACCGGCTAGAGGTTCAGCTTGCATACTTAGTCGACTCTGCACAATTTTTAATACAGTTTGCGTCACATTTTACTTTTCTGCACTCTAAATTAGTCTTGCATCCCTTTGAATCACTTTTTCTAATAACTATACATCTATTTATTTTTATTTGGTCTTGAACCTTTAGCTGGTAAGATCTTAGCGGGCTTATAAAATACTACCGGCTAGAGGTACAGCTTGCCTACTTAGGGGACTTTCCCAATTTTTATTATGGTTCGCTCCACATTTCACTTTTCTGCTGTCCAAGTTGTAGTCTTACACTCCTAGGAATCACTTTTTACAAGAGTACGTCTACTTGTCTCGCACCCCTCTGAAACACTCTTTTCAAGAAAAAGTACATATTTATTTCTTTTTATTTGGTCTTGCACCTCTAGCTGGTAGGATCTTAAGGGGCTTAGAATATACTACCAGCTACAGGTACGGCTTGCACACTAAGTGGACTTTGCCTAATTCTTATTATGGTTTGCTCCACATTTTGCTTTTCTGCACTCCAAGTTGTAGTCTTACACTTAGGAATCATTTTTTTTTCAAAGAAAACGTTGATTTTTTTCTTTGATTTGGTCTTTTACCTCTAGCCAGTAGCATCTCCGGAGGCTTAGAAAAGACTACCAGCTAGAGGTACAGCTTGCATATTTAGTCAACTTTGCCCAATTTTTACTGTGGTTTGTTCATTTTACTTTTCTGCACTCCAAATTAGTCTTGCATTCCTTGGAATCACTTTTTTCATGAATACATTAACATTTTATTCTCTCTTATTTAGTATATAACCTCTGGCTAGTAGGATCTTAGGAGGCTTAGAAAATACTGTAAGTAGAGCTTGCATATTTAATTGACTTTGCCCAATTTTCATTACTGTCTGCTTCGCATTTTACTTTTCGGCATTCCATTTTAGTCTTGCACTATATTGTGTTTTGTTGTGATACGCATCCAAAACCATGAGTTTCAAACTGCTGTTTATTCTTCGTTAGCGTTGTTCGAAATCTATAAGTTACACATAGTAAGCGTATCAGAAAAATAATTACAGTAAAATATAAATATAACAAAACAGAATAGTTACCAAATGGTTGTCTTGCTTGAAGTGTATCACAATTAGGAAAGTAATTAAGTTCATTAATTGACTGTGACGTAGTTACAATTTCAACGAAACACATTGGAATCATTTTTTCAAGAATATCTTCTTCTTCCTTGGTCGTGTACCTACCACTGTTTATTTGATAGCACAGAACACAAGCTACAGTATCAAATGACGCTTTATGGGGAATCAGCTGAAACTAAAGCACGCATTATTTGGCAAAAGGCAAGGGGTTTCTGGTTGATGTGCAAATAAGAAAAGTTTGATATATTTTTACTAGTAGCAATTTTTATTTAAAAATACAGTAGATAACACAGGCACAGGTTAATGTCATGTATATAATTGTATAAATTCAGTATGGATAGTTGATGACCATTCTATATTTTCAGCAGAAAAGTCAAATGTGGAGCAAACTGTAATAAAATTGGGCAAAGTCAGCTAAATATGCAAGCTCTACCTCTAACCGGTAGTATTTTATAAGCCCGCCAAGATCCTATCAGCTAAAGGTTCAAGACCAAATAAAAATAAATAAATGTATACCTATTCTTGAAAAAAATTATTCAAAAGAGTGTAAGACTAATTTGGAGTGCACATAAAGTAAAATACGAAACGAACCTTTGTAACAACTGGACAAAGTTGACTAGATATGCAAGCTGTACTACTAACTGGTAGTATTTTCTAAGCCTCCTGAGATCCTAGCGGCTAGAGGTACAAGACAATAGAAATTTTATCCTGGGGATCTTTCCAACCAGCAGAACTATAACAAGGGCATTATGATGGCGATGCTATTCATAATTTTGTTTACCTTTGCAAGCGCAGGTCTAAAACTCTGCTGAACAAGAAACTTAAGGTTAGTCCGCCATATTGCTATAGCCGACAATTTCCGATAATCACCCGACTCGACTCGAAAAATGACAACGAGGAGACGAAATTGAAAGCTTGCCATACCAGAAAACAGCTGTTAGATTCAAACACCTCTTCATTAGCACTTTTAGTTTTCTTTTGTTTTCCTACTTGACGTTGCTTCGTTCATGAATGTTGTAATTTTTCGTCGCTCTTGTGAAATGGATTAATGTAAAATGTGTAATTTAAAATTGATTTTTGACATTCTTTCGAGGAAAGATCTGGTGAGGATGACAAGCGGTTGGCGCAATCAATCAGAGTCCTTATTAACAATCGTTTGGATCTGTTGTCAACATGGCTCTAATAATGGAGTAGAAGCCCTTTGTTGGTGTTTCTTCTCCAGACACAGGTGTTGAGGCGGTTATCGGTCTCATTGATTACCATGCCTGCGAAGGGAAAGCTGTTGTTGACTGCTGGGTGTGCATCATTCAGAACTGAAAGGAAATTTGTAGCAGTGGCTAGCGAGGGTATCGTCGAAGATACCTTTGCTCTAGTACCTGAACTCAATCAAAGACCGAACAATCTTCATGAGCAATTTGCCATCCTAAAGAAATGCCGAGGAAAGTTTGAGTGTATTATTTATGAGATGTTTTTGATAAGGAAAAAGAGACCGACCTGAACACTCAAAAAGACTCCATCCCAGCGAAACTGTTCATTTGATGATGTACATTCTTATGTTTTACTCCATCTCATTCTTTTCTAATTTAGTTTCACACTTTCCTTTCTTTATAGGACGTCACTGAACTTAGAATAATTTTACATTTGATAGTGGTGACATGTCGTCGCCGAAACGTCTTAATCTCGCTACTTTTTATTATGAAATGTTTTTTCTAAATCTTTCGTTATCAGTAATTTTGTTTTGCCCGTAAAGGCAGTAGTTCTCAAATCACGGTAAAATTCGCATCCACTGCAGCTAAAGTAACCCAGCAACAAATGTAAGTGTTATTCGAGTTGATTCTTTGTTTTCTCTGACTGTATTTCAAAATTTTGTGTATATTACTCTTTGGTTTAGTTTAAAGTGGTAGCCAGACACTCAAATAAGTGTGCAAATTTGACCAACTATCCAAATACCAAGTTCACAAAGTCCTAACAGCACTAATGGGTTCCTAGTCTTAACTTTCTGGCAGAGATGTGTTAAAACGACAAACTTGCCCTCAGGGTCAGGGTTAGCTGCAGTTTTAACTTTTAACTTTGCTTTCTTATTATTACATCGATTATGATGTGGCACGTTTACCAGTTAGCCTCGATTTGATTTGCTCGACCCAGCTTTTTTTGAGCTCGCGTCCAAAGATCACGAATTAACCTATGCCATTAAGAGAAGTGTCTCGTAAGTGTACACTATACGTATTACAGCGCCCACTTATTCTAAACTAACCAGGATTTATTTTGTCTACAAATAAATTAAGACGGATTGATTTTGAAATGTGGTATTGTTAGAATAAATTTCTCTAACACTCGTTTGTGGTTTGGTTGATCCTTCTTTAATTTCTTTTCTTCTCAGTTGTTACAATGGGGACTAGCTTCAATATAACAGGGAAAACTAGAGTCTCCGCTTATAAAGGTGACACTGCGGATGACATTTCTAAGCCGTCAATCTTCTTGTGTCGTCATCGTACCATCTCAACTAGCGAATCACGCTTGACTTCGTATTATAGTTCCCACATACTGAGTAAGCAA